AGAGAGTTCACTGTTGCTCTGTTACAAACGTTCACCGTTGTCTTGTATGAGGCTGAGGGGAAAAACGTTCACTAATACCCTGTATGGGAATAAAAACGTTATCTGCTGGTTTGTATGGAGACGAGGAGGAAACGTTCATTTTTTGTCCTATATTGGAAGAAAAACGTTCACTTTTGTCCCATATTGGAAGAAAAACGTTCACTTTTGTCCTATATTGGAAGAAAAACGTTCACTTTTGTCCTATATTGGAAGAAAAACGTTCACTTTTGTCCTATATTGGAAGAAAAACGTTCACTTTTGTCCCATATTGGAAGAAAAACGTTCACTTTTTGTCCTATATTGGAAGAAAAACATTCACTTTTGTCCTATATTGGAAGAAAAACGTTCACTTTTGTCCTATATTGGAAGAAAAACGTTCACTTTTGTCCCATATTGGAAGAAAAACGTTCACTTTTTGTCCTATATTGGAAGAAAAACATTCACTTTTGTCCCATATTGGAAGAAAAACGTTCACTTTTGTCCCATATTGGAAGAAAAACGTTCACTTTTGTCCTATATTGGAAGAAAAAAGATGTGCTCTACCTGGAGGCTTCTTGTCGTTCTTTTAGACTCGGCTACTGGGAACCAAAAGTTCTAAGTAGCACGGGCTATGGTGAACCCGTAATGGACTTACCTGGCACAGGAGCGGGGCTGTAACTGTGTAATTACAGGAAAAACGTCTCCTAATAAGCTGGTGTTACAGTGAAGAACAACGGGAGTGTTACAGTGAAGAACAACGGGAGTGTTACAGCAGTGAGCGCTGAGTACAGTGACAAGGGAGAGTCGTGCTGCCAGCTACATGTGTTTCGGGTCGATATCTCCACTGGTGTCTTGCTGCTCCGACTCTTAACACTGTACTGTGTGTGTGTGTGTGTGTGTGTGTGGTGAATGTAATAGGTTAAGTAATAATTGTAAATAAGAAGCAATAAGATGCTTATCTTAACATACTAAGAAGGTTAGGTGAGGTCGGTGTTTTCTATGAAGCTTTTCAAGGTAAACTAAAATATTCACAATCAATTAGTATGTCACATATGCACTTATTAAATAAGCCAATATTGACTATAGCAAGTGCGAGAATGGGTTGGTATTCACCTATTTGTTTTTGCGGGGGTTGAGCTCTGCTCTTTCGGCCCGCTTCTCAACTGTCAATCAACTGATACTAACTACTATTTTTTCCTGTCTAACTCCCAGGTACCTATTTACTGCTAGGTAACAGGGGCATCAGGGTGAAAGAAACTTTGCCCATTTATTACTGCCTGGTCTGGGAATCGAACCCGGGCCACAGAATTGCGAGTCCTGCGAGCAGTCCGCTCAGCTACTAGACCCCCTAGTGTGCGTGTGTGTGTATGTGTATTTACTATTTGTGCCTGCAGGATCGAGCTGTTAGTTCTTGGACCCCGCCTTCTATCCGTCTGCGTCTATTGTACTAACTTCTAATCTATATTTGTTATATCTGCTACATATATTTCCCTCTCTCTCTCTCTCTCTCTCTCTCTCTCTCTCTCTCTCTCTCTCTCTGAGTCACGCACTCGCACATCCCCAGGATGCAACCCGCAATACTTCACTTACTCCCAGGTACCAATTTACTTCTAGGTAAATGGAAACATCATGTGAAAGAAACTCTACCCAATTGTTTCTGTCTCAGCTGGGAATCGAACTAGGGGTCCGGTGTATGAGTGTGTGTATTAATAATACAAAAGGTAAATTCTACTGGGTAGATATTTTGGGACAAAGAAAGTTACCATGGCGACACGGTAGAGTATCGTTGGGGTCTGCTCAAAACTCTATTTGAGTTTCGGGCAGCAGAAGCCTTCTGTCCTGCCAACTCACCAACTTCATCAGGTCCCATAGCAGGCTGAACTTAACACCTCGATTTTTGTTTATCCATACTTACCTGTACTCCTAAGGAACTATTGAGGTTGACAGGATTGTGTATATTAGTACATTTTCAAGCGATGTTAAGCAGCAGTGACAAAATGGCCTAACATGTTTGAATTAGAAAAGCGTTAAACATCAACAGATTCACCTAAACATTTTTGTGTCGAAACGATTGAATTCTGACCCATTTCCCGAAACAAAAATGTTTACCAGTAGAAAATTAACTAACTGATAAAACGGGCTACTAAATTATGACGTCGCGTTCAGTATATTCACGCCAACATTGAAAACAACTCCAGCATTAACCTAATTTAGCAAATTATGTCATAAAGATAATAATAAGAAAGCAGGAGAGAGCAGAGCACTAATTAATGTCAACATTACCCAGACAGCATTAAGAGGCTAAGAGTCGAGCAGGATGTCTTCCCACAGAAACAAAAACAGGTTTCTATGAGGGCAGTGAGAGAGAGAAACACGGGCCGAGCCGCTAGGAGAGGACTCACCTGAATATTGAAGGGCGGGCAAGAGCTTCCCCTCGACTGTCCTGCCATCTTTGTCTTTAAGCCAGAGTTCCACGTCTGGGGAGGCAGGAGGGGTCGCTGACGGTCCTGCTGGGATCTGTAGGTCTCCTGACTCTGGCCAGTCCTTGTAGTCTGAAACCTTTGATGCTAATGGATACTCGTTTTGCTTGGACATCGTCGTTTCTGGCAAGAATGAGTCGCCGTTCTTATACTCTTCTTCATATAATCCGAGTCGTTCAAATTCCTTTCGGAGCATTATCACGTGTTTTTCGTACTCTAGTTTCGAAATATCGAAATTTTTGTCACTGAAATCCAAGCTGGTGTGATTTGTATCGAGAAAATCAAAAAGAACTTTAATTTTTTTGCATAGTTTCTCCACCTTATCTCCGTCTTCAACTTTTATGGTGTGTTCGTGTTCATTCCTCTTCATCCCCAGAACGTCCGACTCATCCTGACCAGTCGGATATCTTCCTCTCTCGAAATGCTCGTCCGCTGTTATACCCGTGTAATTGTCACCGTCCGTGTGCGTACCTGGGAGGCCACTCTGGTCCGTAGTTGTTCTGGGGTAGTCACCGTCCCCTGAGGCTGTATCAGGGAGGTCATTTCTGTCTGTGGTTGTACCAAAGACATCCCTCTCTGTGGTTGCACCAGAATAGTCATCTTCGTCTATAACTTCACCCGAGAAGTTATATTCGTAGTGTGTTGGACCACGAATGTCATCTTCATAGTGGGACGTGCCAAAGAAGTCATCGTTATAGTGTGTTGAACTATGGGTATTATCTTCATAGTGAGTTGCGCCAAGAGTGTCATCTTCATACTGTGTTGGGTCAAGTTTGTCAACTCTGTCCTTCCTTGTATCAAGTAGGCCATCTAGACCTGATGTTTTACTAAGGTAGTCCCTTTCATCTGTTACATGGAGGTAAGCATCTTTGTCCAGGATTATATTAAGGCTCTTATCACTATCTTCTGTTTTTCTTGGATGGTCATCTTCGTCCGTAATTGTGCTAGTGTGACTATTTGTGTGCGTCGCTGTCAACGAGTGATGGACACTTCCCGTTCTTGTGCTGTGGTCTGTGTTTACTGTCAAGGAAGGACCATTTTCTGTCATTTCTCTCTCAGGTGACCTATCTGTTTGTATTGGATTAGGTGGGTTAGCATTGTTCGTGTTTGATCTCTCAGCGCTTGTTATTATGGGATCACCTCTGTCCATAGCTGGGGTAGAATAGAGAGTGTCGTCTCGAGTTGATAGCGTGGAAGTACCGCTCCCTAGCACAGCCCACAGTCCCACAGTGGTGTCAGCATTAGAAAACGTATTTTCAGGGCGGCGTCGACCGTGTTGTGATTCGAGATAGTCATCTATGATCTCCCTTGTGTTTCTTCTATTATTCTGACCATTTTCCGAGATTCTGAAATCATTATTTCTTTCTAATTTCTCTATTTCGAAGTATTTGTGTAGTAGATTTACTTTCTTCATAAATTCTCGTTTATTCCTCTTAGTTGATTCGTTTGTGTGATGAACTACTTCGTCGTCCTCAGAGATGAGGGGTGAGGCGGTGGAGAACTTGCGCGAGGTGGAGGGCGGGAGCGGACTGGAAGGTTCGTTGTTTAAGAGTAACCTGAGGGGCGGAGTTAGTTTAATTCCGGTTGGCGCCAACATCTGGCGCCGCCCTTTGGGTACGTGGGCGCGGGTACTTCCGATCACACTTTGTGAAGGAGGCAGTGTTACCACTGGTATCCTAAGTAACTCCGCAAGACTCGAGTATGTTATTCTGTCCTGTGATAATTTTTGTGGTCCTTTATATCGGTTTTCGTTTTCAGTTATCAGAGTTTTTCGTTGCACCGCAGGTTCATGTTGTTTAGAAAACTGGTAATAATTAGCCTCACTCTGATGTCGACCTCCAACATCAGCTTTCAAAGTATTATAAGGCGGCTGTTCCAGCCGCGTACTACCACTACTCGGGAAAATGCTTTTGACGTTTCTTTGAGAACGGACGTGAGAAATCTGAGAAGCACCTGCAGTGTACAAATAGGGAACCCTTTTGTTTAGTGGCCTCAGTGTCTCTTCACGTATTTCTGGACTCTGAGGGTTGTTTGTATAGGATGGACGATGGTCTAAATCATGTACAAGGACCACTGGTGGAGGCGTGCCAGACCTTCCGGACTCGGCCGGGGGCGACGCTTGGGAGCTCGCCTGACCTTTCACAGCCGTCACCAACACCCACACCAGGACAAGCGCCCTGGATGACACTGAAACACTTTTCCTAGTTGAAAATTTCATTTCTGGGTGTCGTACTGGTTATTATTAAGAAGAAACTTGCTCTTAATTTGTGTGAATTTGATAACTTCGTTAGATTTTCTACACATTTTGTCACTTTCTGTATTTCATCGTTCCTTAAAGCAAATTGCTTTTTTTGTTTTACTTCCATAAAGTAGTGATCTAATTATTACATTAGTGTGATTAAAACTTTGCATAAGAACTCAGTAACTCAGTGTGTTTCCCAAGCATAAATGAGCTTACAAACACCAAAACGTTTACAGTCACAACATCAAGACGATGAACAAAGGTTTCTGTTAAGTTTTCAAAATGACACTGATGTACAAACAACGTTTACACAACACGTGCTGGTATTACAAAACTATTTACAGCTTGATATGTTACATTCTCAGGCCACAGGAAACGAAAACGAACACCGATATGTTCAGGAAACTTGACAACACTTGTGTTAGCTAGATTTTGACTACCAATAAACGTATTAAAGACGTCCGTTGTCGTCAGTAACTATCTATACCAGACACTGATCAGAGAGTTGCTGTCACTACTCTTCATTGTGATATTTAGTTAATCACAATATAATTACATTTTGTGTGAAGGGCAAGACACTGTAATTTCAATTTGTGTGACAGTGTTCCCGCCTCTCCACTGCCACGTATCTGCGTCCAACCTGACCACTTCCTTAGTACTAGCACGATTTATATACACTTAGATTTTACAAATAATATAAATTGTCTTGAATACAGAGAACACTAATGTCTTCACACGCACACTTTACCAAACACTTAGAATCGATAAAATAAAATTAACCAACTTTCTAAATTTTCAGCAACTTAAACTGGTTAATGGGTGTTTCCAATGTGTTTCGCACAATCGAGTGACTAAGAGTGAAGGTGGTGTCTCACAAGAGGTGAGAAATGCATGCCAATTCTAAATTCGATGTTGATGGACGAGGGCGACTCGCTACAGCTTCCTTCCGTGGCTACACACACACACCTCACACACTTACTCTCCACTGCTCTTCAAATTTCCACTTTTTCTCTGCAACGGAGCAAGTACAATTTGCATATCAACAACTCTGAATATCCTTGCCGCAGGGAAGACTTTTTTTCTCTCCCTCACAGACACGGACGGCTCAGGATACCATAGAAAAACGGGCCATCGCAATAGGGCAGCACTCGCGAGGCTTCCTCAGTTAAACCAGTCCGCCCGTCTCCGCTCCCCGGCTTTAGATTGTTCGATAAGACCTTCGAGGGGGAATTCAGGGCTCAGGACATATATTTATAAACTGTATTCGTGGGAATATTCAACTATTTCAATTTCAAAAAGGAATTTCGTATGAAGGACAGTAATTAAAGAGAGCTGTCATACAGTGATTGGCGCGAGGGAAACGATAGTAAAGATGAAGCAGTTATGAGAACTGTATTATTTTGTTCTTATTAGTGAGAAGGTATCGGGTATCATTCAAAACAACTGTGGGTTAAAACGCTGAGATTGATGAACCCTGGCTGTGAAGGATGATAAACCCTGGCTGTGACGCATGATAAACCCTGGTTGTGACATGATAAACCCTGGTTGTGACGCATGATAAACCCTGGCTGTGACGCATGATAAACCCTGGTTGTGACACATGATAAACCCTGGTTGTGACGCATGATAAACCCTGGTTGTGACACATGATAAACCCTGGTTGTGACACATGATAAACCCTGGTTGTGACGCATGATAAACCCTGGCTGTGAAGCACGATAAACCCTGGCTGTGAAGCACGATAAATCCTGGCTGTGAAGCATGATAAATCCTGGCTGTGAAGCATGATAAACCCTGGCTGTGACGCATGATAAACCCTGGTTGTGACGCATGATGAACCCTGGCTGTGAAGCATGATAAACCCTGGCTGTGAAGCATGATAAACCCTGGCTGTGAAGCATGATAAACCCTGGCTGTGAAGCATGATAAACCCTGGCTGTGAAGCATGATAAACCCTGGCTGTGAAGCATGATAAACCCTAACTGTGAAGCATGATAAACCCTGGTTGTGACGCATGATAAACCCTGGTTGTGACACATGATAAACCCTGGTTGTGACGCATGATAAACCCTGGTTGTGACACATGATAAACCCTGGTTGTGACACATGATAAACCCTGGTTGTGACGCATGATAAACCCTGGCTGTGAAGCATGATAAACCCTGGCTGTGAGGCATGATAAACCCTGGTTGTGAAGCATGATAAACCCTGGTTGTAAAGCATGATAAACCCTGGCTGTGACGCATGATAAATCCTGGCTGTGAAGCATGATAAACCCTGGTTGTGACGCATGATAAACCCTGGTTGTGACGCATGGTAAACCCTGGCTGTGAAGCATGATAAACCCTGGCTGTGAAGCATGAAAAACCCTGGCTGTGACGTATGATAAACCCTGGGTGTGACGCACGATAAACCCTGGCTGTGAAGCACGATAAACCCTGGCTGTGAAGCACGATAAATCCTGGCTGTGAAGCACGATAAATCCTGGCTGTGAAGCATGATAAATCCTGGCTGTGAAGCATGATAAACCCTGGTTGTGACGCATGATAAACCCCTGGTTGTGACGCATGATGAACCCTGGCTGTGAAGCATGATAAACCCTTGCTGTGAAGCATGATAAACCCTGACTGTGAAGCATGATAAACCCCGGTTGTGAAGCATGATAAACCCCGGCTGTGAAGCATGATACACCCTGGCTGTGAAGCATGATAAACCCTGACTGTGAAGCATGATAAACCCTGACTGTGACGCATGATAAACCCTGGTTGTGACGCATGGTAAACCCTGGCTGTGAAGCATGATAAACCCTGGCTGTGAAGCATGATAAACCCTGGCTGTGAAGCATGATAAACCCTGGTTGTGACGCATGATAAACCCTGGTTGTGACGCATGATAAACCCTGGTTGTGATGCATGATAAACCCTGGCTGTGAAGCATGATAAAGCCTGGCTGTGAAGCATGATAAACCCTGGCTGTGAAGTATAAACCCTGGCTGTGAAGCATGATAAACCCTGGCTGTGAAGCATGATAAACCCTGGCTGTGAAGCATGATAAACCCTGGCTGTGAAGGATGATAAACCCTGGCTGTGAAGGATGATAAACCCTGGCTGTGAAGCATTGATAAACCCTGGCTGTGAAGCATAATAAAATCTGGTTGTGAATTACACACGCACACACACCTGCCTCCTACCCACTCCCTCGCCATCTTCGAGTAACTCTGGGAATAGGGTGTCCAAGAAGAGCCTTAAGGCATGCTTCACGAACGCCGACGGAGTTACACAGCATAGGAAATAAAAGGGTGAAAATAATCCTGATTTAATTGCATTTGTGGCAAAAAACAATTAATTATATGATCTCTGATGCAATATTTCCAGGGGGATTCTACGTAATAAGGAAAGAAAGCAAGCAAGGAGACAATTACTTTTTTAGTAAAACGGGAGTGGAAGTTCAATGAATAGGTGGGTTGGTGGGGACTACAGGTTCCCGGGTGGGGACTACAGGTTCCCGGGTGGGGACTACAGGTTCCCGGGTGGGGACTACAGGTTCCCGGGTGGGGACTACAGGTTCCCAGGTGGGGACTACAGGTTCCCGGGTGGGGACTACAGGTTCCCGGGTGGGGACTACAGGTTCCCGGGTGGGGACTACAGGTTCCCGGGTGGGGACTACAGGTTCCCGGGTGGGGACTACAGGTTCCCGGGTGGGGACTACAGGTTCCCGGGTGGGGACTACAGGTTCCCGGGTGGGGACTACAGGTTCCCGGGTGGGGACTACAGGTTCCCGGGTGGGGACTACAGGTTCCCGGGTGGGGACTACAGGTTCCCGGGTGGGGACTACAGGTTCCCGGGTGGGGACTACAGGTTCCCGGGTGGGGACTACGGATCCCCGGGTGTGTAACAGAAACGTTCAGAAGTTTTTAAGACAGAAAAAGTAGAAGGAAATAAGATTTATAGGAAAATATGACAAGCGGGAAAATAGGGAATCCTTGCATTGATCGACCCTGCAAGCACATCGAGCGCGCACGCACGCGCGCACATGCACGCACACGCAGGCACGCACGCGCGCGCGCACACACACAAGTGGTTCCCAGAACTGAAGGGCAAGAGCTACGAGGAGAGGTTAGAGGCATTAAATATGCCAAAACTAGAAGACAGAAGAAAAAGAGGTGATATGATCACTACATACAAAATAGTAACAGGAATTGATAAAATTGATAGGGAAGATTTCCTGAGACCTGGAACTTTAAGAACAAGAGGTCATAGATTTAAACTAGCTAAACACAGATGCCGAAGAAATATAAGAAAATGCACTTTCGCAAACAGAGTGGTAGACGGTTGGAACAAGTTAGGTGAGAAGGTGGTGGAGGCCAAGACCGTCAGTAGTTTCAAAGCGTTATATGACAAAGAGTGCTGGGAAGACGGGACACCACGAGCGTAGCTCTCATCTGTAACTACACTTAGGTAATTACACACACACACACACACACACCTGAAGCAAAATTTGCCAAATTGAATTTAATGTGAATAAATGTCACGTTATGGAATGTGGAATAGGAGAAAATAGGCCACACATAACCTACAAATTATGTAAAAAAGCTTTAAAGAATTTTGATAAAGAGATGTAGTGACGGTTCTTATTGAAAAGCTGTCACTAGCACAAAGAACATTGTGCGAGGAGCCTATGCTACGCTTTCCAACTTTAGAATCACTTTTTTTTAATACAGGATGCGAAATATTTAAAGAAATTATTCACGACCTTTGTGAGACCAAAGTTTGGATATGCAGCGGTTGTATGGTGGCCATTTATTAAGAAGCATATCACTAAACTATAAAAGATGCAAAGATATGCAATTAAATGGCTCCCAGAACTGAGAAACAAGTGCTACGAGGAGAGGCTAGAGGTGTTAACTCTACCAAAGCTAGAAGAAAAAGAGGTGATATGATCACTACGTACAAAATAGTAACAGGAATCGACAAAACTGACAAAGAATGTTTGAAAACTGCAACTTCAAAAACAAGAGGAGATAGGTTCACAGGAAATAAAGCTGCCGAAAAACATTAGAAAGTTCACTTTTTACAGAGCGGTAGACGGTTGGAACAAGTGAGGTGATGGAGGCCAAAACCGTCAGTAGTGACAAAGTGTCATATGACAGAGGAAGACGAGACACCACGAGAGTAGCTGGCTACACACACACACACTCCAGCTGGTACGACAAATTCCACAACAAAAGCCACTACACTGGGAAGGGTTACACCCCGCACAACCTATAACTGGTACACTAAGATATGGTTCCAACACGCACCAGTCCCGTCAACGTGCCCTCATTTACAGGCTCAACATAGCTCGTCCTATACGGAAATTTTGTTCCAAGAGATAAATAAAAAACAACGCCCAACGTTGTTGTTTAAATTTGAAATAAAAAACAACGAAAAGTCTGTCCGTTCGCCCCATACGTCAACCGTAAAGTTTCAAGTGATTTTGCCTGGGCCATGATTCATCAAGCATTTACGCAACCTGTTCATCAATCATGATGGCTTTGTTTAGTTATTTAACATTGTATGAGCTCCGAAGAACTACATGTTTGTCCATAGCAGTAGTAACCTTGGGACTGTTAAATTTCGAACCTCGTAAACTGTTTAATAAATGTAAACAAACCCATGATTGAGGAAAGATGTACAGGTTTCGCACGTAGATGGGCAACGCTTGATGAACCCTCTCCCCGAGCCTATCCTGGTCGTTTCTTATGTTTAGGGAAGAAATAAATTTACGGCTATTTTAATTTCACCAAAACACGGGCAATTTTTGCACTTGGAGGGAAAAAGGATATATGAGGTGTATTAAATGAGAAGACAGGTTGTTGGGGCGAGCATTCTGCACTAATACCAGCGTCCCATCCCTGAATACCGAGCATTGGTCGCACTGATTACTCGAGTAGTGACGTCAACAATGACACCGAGTTTACACTCTCGCACTCCAGAGTGATTACAACCACTCGCAGCTACTCTAGGCTGTCCCACAATAATACTAGTTCATTAGTAGTGCACTCTACCACTGAATGAAAACTCTAGACCATACACTATCACACGGAATGAAAACTCTAGACCATACACTACCACACGGAATGAAAACTCTAGGCCATACACTACCACACGGAATGAAGACTCTTGGGCACATACTATCTCATAATCAAGTCAGCTTTGGACCTATCAGCTGTAACTAATATTTAAAATATATGGTATTCAGCAATAAACTAAAGTTTCGTAACTTTAGTTTATCGCTGAATACCAATAATAAAAAAATAACACGCAACTGCGCAGTACAAAAATCTACGTCACCAATTAATCACTTTAAAAAATATAATTCAGTGCATTTTTAAGAGAGGTTGTAAGCTAATGCTCCATCGAGGACAACATATGGACAACTAAATACCCAGTGATCCGTACAGAAGACGAAGGGAAGGACAGCGAATCTTCGCTACCGGGATTATGTTCCTAGCGAGCGGGAAGTAATCTTCGTTACGGGATTGGGTTCCTAGCGAGCGGGAAGTAATCTTCGTTACGGGATTGGGTTCCTAGCGAGCGGAGAGTGATCTTAGCTACCGGGATTGGGTTCCTAGCGAGCGGGAAGTAATCTTCGTTACCGGGATTGGGCTCCTAGCGAGCGGGAAGTAATCTTAGCTACCGGGATTGGGTTCCTAGCGAGCAGAGAGTGATCTTTACTACCGGGATTGGGTTCCTAGCGTGCGGGAAGTAATCTTAGCTACCGGTAATTGTGTTACAGGGATTGCCTATTGATTTCAGTAAAGTTCCTTCAGTGACGAAGTGGTTGCATGACCGCCAAACTCAAATTGCTTGAATTACTTCCTTTCAAACCCAAGGAATTGTCTAATGTTCCGTTAATCGGAGAGGAATAACATGCCTTAAATCACCAGACCAATCATAACGCGGAGAAATCACCATGCAGTGGCCACTGAAGGAAGAACTTGTGGAAGCCACCTCCACCCACAACCGAGGCCAGATTCGACAACAAATTCGAACGTCAGAATAATTTTATTATAACACAACAGACTAGAAGGCTAACGCAAACAAGGCTAGAAGGCAAAGAATTAAGAGATAAACCTCATTTCCCCATAGACACTAAGTAAATGTAATTATGCATAATGGTAATTGTAAAAGAGAGCTTTAGATGCAAGCACAGGGATGATCTAATGGTATGAAAACGCCAAGATATTACACGAGGCTAATATAACCACCCAAACATTACGGCGACCACAAATTCTGTGTTACTGTGCATGCATTAAGGTTACTTTATAAAGCCGAGGCATATAGCTAAGGACGAAATAAGCTTATATACTTATATGCAGCAACACATTAAGCTTAGAGGGATGGACTTTATGGGGGCCATGCTATAATTTAACAGGAATATAGGCTTTTAAGTGGCAACTCTGTAGAAAAGTTTATGGGATACACATTAACGCAAAATTTAATGGTAATACTTTAACATTAAAATTTAAGTTCACGAGGTCATACTTGAAGGTGGCAATACTACAAGCTTACGAGGTCATACCCGATGTTGGCAACAACACCTATACCGGGTAAGATACTATATACGGTTATATATTACTATACAATTAAGGTATATAAGGTAATATTGATTTAAATTAGCAATATGTGGCATATTACAGAAGAAACCTCTCAACGCCTCCGCTAGTATCATGCTGCCCTCACATCATCCTTGTCAGGTGACATCCCTTCACACTAGTCACAGCATCTTCCCTCACACTAGCCACGCTGCCCTTCCCTCATGCTAACCTCCTTGCCCATTCTTTCACGCTAGAGCCACGCTGTTCTCCCCTCACATTAGGCTTGCCACAGCGATATTCACACTAGCCAGTGCAAAGAACTTCGTAATATTGAACAGAACGTTCTCTTTTATCAACGTTCTCTTTTCCTAGTTACAACTGACAAAATAATTGTAACTATAATCAAAATTTTGTCTACTTTGAGGGCCCGTCACAGAGTACTGCCGCTACGCTATCGCCAATGGTATTTCAAAGTTAAAAGTTCGGCCTTTGATTATGACAACAGTCCAGATCACGGGATGAGTGTCATGCCACATACACTTCACTATATTATCATTCATACTGTCACGGAAGAGTCGTCCAGAGTGGCCAAGCGAGTAGGCCCTGGGTGTCGTTGGTGACAGGTGGGAGCGTCACCGTCTACACTGCGCCGCGCCTCACGCCCGTCTGAGGCCCCTCTCCAGCGCTCTTTCCCCTAGACATTACTGATGCCACACACCGCTACACATCCCATCTCATACCGTCAATTATATCCCAGAAGCAAAACCTAATACTTCTAAGTGTAGTCAGCATCACTCACTTATCCTGCAAACTTTGACTGCACGTCGCAGGGGATTGTTTGTGAAGTGTTAAGCGGTTTAAAATATAAAAACAAATCTTATATTAGTAGCGGTAGCTGGATGGCAATTGTTGACAGGTTGTTGCATACAGGTGAGAGCCATACGAGTAAGCAGCTGGCGGATAAAGACCTTTTGCCTACGCTCAATTGGGCTGTGTATTTGTTGTTACTTAAAGTATTTACACGAGTAATAATGGGTCATATAACATGCTGGTAAGGAATTACATTATTGAAATGTCAATACGTACATTCCAATTGTAAACAATGTAGAACAAGAGCTAGGACATACTCTCCAACACTATATCTGTCATTGCCCTGTTATAAATGACTTTAGACCAAATGGTATATGAGGTACTTTGAGCTCTGTAATTACTTCATATACTCACGAATATTAGAAGATATTCTTGTGCTGTACCCAAATTTTGCTAGTGGAGGCTAATATATCAGCCTCGCATTTCATGTTCTCTCCTAATTCCATGTATGACTAACCATCCTGTGAGATGGAGATATTAGATGAAGTTATAGTTATCTTTTTATCTACACTTTGTAACTTTTCATATAGAATAGGGTAGCAGCACATTGTTGTGTGTACCTAAGCTTGTTAATAATAAAAAAGTAGCATAGTATTTCGGGCTTTACGACAATAAATCCCGTGTGAGAGTCTTTATAGGAAAATCTAGCATGATAACTTTTTCATGTTTAGGATTTAGAATCGATTACATATTTATTATTATAATAGAATAATAATATCTCAAAGTATACTTGCATAAACCACAAGTGAAGATTAACAAGGCCCCATAGTGGGTGTTGTCCAAAGATTGTTAATCTTCACTTGTGGTTTATGAAAGTATAGGCTTATATATATATATATATATATATATATATATATATATATATATATATATATATATATATATATATATATATATATATATATATATATAATCTACCTACACAGTGTTGAAAGTGTGTAAAATGTAGGCCATGATGCAGAGCACAGTCTCCACAACTGCATTTACATCTCTATACTATATTAGTGCACTTCAGTCTGTCAGAGGCAGAAATTGTTATTTACATAATATGAGAAGCTGTACGAGGGCTTTTATAGTAAATTATACGACGAGTCCAAGTATTTTCACTGCATGATTTACAGTTTCTATCAATAACATTCCGTATATTATTTTCCTCCATTTTATAGGCCTGGGTAAATGTATTGTTATGGTACAACACGAACCGTGCTAATTAGTACTTCTGGTTCATTGTGGTTCTTTTATTAAGTTGAAATTACGTGACGTCTGCATACATACATACATATGTATGTATGTATGTATGTATGTATGTATGTATGTATGTATGTATGTATGTATGTATGTATGTATGTATGTATGTATGTATGTATACAGGTGGGGGGCCTGGTAACCTGGTGGATAGCGCGCAGGACTCGTAATTCTGTGGCGCGGGTTCGATTCCCGCACCAGGCAGAAACAAATGGGCAAAGTTTCTTTCACCCTGAATGCCCCTGTTACCTAGCAGTAAATAGGTACCTGGGAGTTAGTCAGCTTTCACGGGCTACTTCCTGGTGTGTGTGTGTGTGTGTGCGTGTGTGGTGAAAAAAAAGTAGTTAGTAAACAGTTGATTGACAGTTGAGAGGCGGGCCGAAAGAGCAAAGCTCAACCCCCACAAACACAACTAGGTGGAATACATACATACATACATACATACATACATACATACATACATACATACATACATACATACATACATACATACATACATACCTACCGTACATACATACATACATATGTCGCACCTAATAGCCAAAATTGCAAAATAATTTGAAAACTTTAAGCAATACAACATTTGTGTTACCTTCTGCATTGGATTTGAGATGAGTCACAACACAGGTTCGTGGATCCATCACCCATCACTGTGGTACAAACAGCCTTGTAGTCCTTGTAATGAAGGGTTTGGAAGATTGGACTGGGAACCCATCTTCATAAATTACTTCCGAGCCAGGTCGATCCTGGAGCACCGTGCTCCAGTGCCTCGCGCCTTCACTAAAACTGAGACAGGCTCGTGTGGCTGTCTGAAATTTAAGGGAAATAATGAATAAAAAATGCTGGAAGTAATGATAGTTTAATATAATATTTTTGATATGCTAAGGTCAGGCAAAGTTTAAAGAACATGAGAGTAAAGAGTGGCAGTGGTCAAGAATAGTGAGAGGAAGAGTGAGACTGTGACGAGCAAAGAAGTTTTTTTTTTTTTTTTTTTTTTTTTATTATTATTTTCTACCACATATAATAATAATAATAATAATAATCTTTATTTAGGTAAGGTACATACATAAAGAGATTTACAAAGTTTGTTGGCTTTATAGATAGAGCTAGTACATACAATGCCTAAAGCCACTATTACGCAAAGCGTTTCGGGCAGGAAAAACATTAATGACTACAGCTTAAAACTAATGGGTAAAAAGAAAAGATGTGATGAGTACATATAAAAAATAGAGGTAAAAGAGGGGGGAACATTGTTGAAAAAGCAGCACAAATACAATTACAAATTATTACAGAAAATTACATTCAAACAGCGTTGATTTGAAAAACAAAAAAACAAGAAACATACATGGGTTGACAACAGAGGGGTAAGGTGAGTTACAGGGAATTTATTAGGTATAGCTTCGTTTTTAACTTAAACTGGTTGAGAGAGGTACAGTCTTTAACATGGTTGGGAAGGTCATTCCACATTCTGGGCCCCTATATATATATATATATATATATATATATATATATATATATATATATATATATATATATATATATATATATATATATATATATATATATATATGTCGTACCTAGTAGCCAGAACTCACTTCTCAGCCTACTATTCAAGGCCCGATTTGCCTAATAAGCCAAGTTTTCCTGAATTAATATATTTACTATAATTTTTTTCTTATGAAATGATAAAGCAACCCTTTTCTCTATGTATGAGGTCAATTTTTTTTTTATTGGAGTTAAAATTAACGTAGATATATGACCGAACCTAACCAACCCTACCTAACCTAACCTAACCTATATTTATAGGTAAGGTTAGGTTAGGTAGCCAAAAAAAGCTAGGTTAGGTTAGGTTAGGTAGGTTAGGTAGACGAAAAAACATTAATTCATGAAAACTTGGCTTATTAGGCAAATCGGGCCTTGAATAGTAGGCTGAGAAGTGCGTTCTGGCTATTAGGTACGACATATATATATATATATATATATATATATATATATATATATATATATATATATATATATATATATATATATATATAAATATATATATATATATATATATATATATATATATATATATATATATATATATATATATATATGTCGTACCTAGTAGCCAGAACTCACTTCTCAGCCTACTATGCAAGGCCCGATTTGCCTAATAAGCCAAGTTTTACTAAATTAATATATTTTCTCAATTCTTTTTCTTATGAAATGATAAAGCTACCCATTTCATTATGTTTGAGGTCAATTTTTTTTTATTGGAGATAAAATTAACGTAGATATATGACCGAACCTAACCAACCCTACCTAACCTAACCTAACCTATCTTTATAAGTTAGGTTAGGTTAGGTAGCCGAAAACGTTAGGTTAGGTTAGGTTAGGTAGGTTAGGTAGTCGAAAAAACATTAATTCATGAAAACTAGGCTTATTAGGCAAATCGGGCCTTGCATAGTAGGCTGAGAAGTGAGTTCTGGCTACTAGGTACGACATATATATATATATATATATATATATATATATATATATATATATATATATATATATATATATATATATATATATATATATATATATATATATATATATATATATTATTATGCACAACTATATTCTACCCACCTCAAGACTCCGCTCCAATATAGAAGCATCAAGAAATATGGACCAACAGGCTTTCTACAATCACTTCCATTCAATACCCATTGTTTCGTGTTCTGTCTTGTGTTGATGAATTTAATACCCTATTAAATACCACCTCACCCCATCCACCACACTCAAATGTAGATATAAACAAAATCGAAGATGTGTAAGTTCTATTCAGTTGTGTATGTGTAAACTAAAGTCTTTGAAAATGTAATAAGTTTTACGAAACGCGCTCAAGTGTCGCGTCAGACTAGAAATAAAAATGAATTTTGGAGAATTGATTTTTGAATTACCACCAACAGTGAAAAGAAATGTACGAAAGATAGAGAAAATTCGTGTTAGAATTATTATTCTTACTTTTTCGGTCATATTTAATAATATATGTCTACAGGAAAGACTGCTACCAAAATATACTAATATTAAAACGCACGACCCAGCAGCAAGGAATCAAGCCTTCACGATAAAATATCGCCAGGATCTGATTCGTGATCAGATATACAAGGCAGAAAATGAAATCAAAGACAACAAAACGCAACTACTTCATGCTACAAACGAATGGAGAAATAGCAACATCGACGAAAGTCTCCGTACCCGCATTGAACAACACCCCGACATCCTCACAGACCGACATCACCTCAGCACTGAAACAAGGATTATCAAGAAACTAACAACGTTATATGGAGGACCTATGGCAATTCCACGACCAAGAGATGGCTTCCTGAACCTTGCAGGAATCAACCTCACTGAGGACCAAGTCACTCTCCTAAATCTGGGTATAAACTGTCACGTTATGTCCAGCCCGAGTGAGATGGCCCGGAAAGTGGAGTTGGAAATTCTGTTGGACGACATATTCGACCTCGAGACACAAAAGAAGGTCACTACCAAAGATACCT